GGGCAGCAGAGAGAGCTCCGTGGTCCTGGCACTGCCATTCCCTCGTGGAAATTCACCTACGGGTGTAGCACTTGGAACCTGAAGGGTGAGCCTCCATGAGAACCAGGCTCCACGCAGTCAGGGAGCCTGGCCTTGCCCTGTCTTGATTAAACAAAGCATGAGATTTCTGGGATACTGAGGTTGAGACAGGAAGGGAGCGGCAGGAACGGCCTGGTCAGCATCAGATGTCAAAATTCCATACAATGGAAGTGTGCGAGATGAAAGAAGAGGGTCGGCAGGCTAGGTCAGGGGTTGACACCAATTAAGGGGGTGCCAAATGAAGGGATCAGAGACCTAGGCGAAGTCAAGGTTAGAATCTTGGGGTGTGCGCCTTACTAATACTTCCACCTGTCCCCACTACATCTAGGGCTACGGCCACTGCCTGAATGGCCAGCCCTGTGCGTGGGTGGAGAAGGAGCTCCTGGGGATGATATTCAGGGACACAAGCCAGCGAGAAGCAGCCCTCCGCCAGTGGTGGGCAGATAGAGATTTGACACATACATGCCCGGTGCGCTCACCTCTGGCCCCACAGTGGGGGTGTCTCTGGGGGCGCTCCCTGAGCTCCCTAGTAGGCCCGGGTGCCACTTGCCTTCTACAATGCTCCCCTCATCACCACACTTCCTTCCCTGGCCCACTTTCCCCTCCCCGGCAGTGCTTCCTGGGATCCCCTGTAAATACACTCCTTGCATCTGCATTCCACTCCAGGGTTTGCCCCTGACGGGGAAACCCAAATCAAGGCAGGCATCGATAATGTCTCAAGCACTCCACCAAATCATTCATTCACAGGCATGTACATATCTTCCTTTAATCCTCTATAAAGTTGGCATCATTAGCGTCATTTTACAGAAGAGGAAAGAGACGATCAAAAGCGTAAGTCATACACCCAAATTTACCAAGAGGTGGACCCAGGACGTGAGGCAGGACTGTCTGATTTGCTGGGCTCATCACAGTGCTCTCCTCGCGCCCTGCTCTCCGCACAAAAGCAGCAACTTCTTAGGCCCTTATCCCTCGTTGTCGGTCTGGTCGCCTTTGGCCTCCCTCTTCCCCCAACTCTCTGTGGAGACGCGAGCCCAGAAAACTCGTGGGATGTTCCTTTGAAGACTTTGTCTAAAGTCTTCACTTTACGGATGAGGAAACAGCCGTGAAGGCACAAGTGACGTTTCCAAAGCACATGGGCATTCCTTTCTGAAACGGTGCTTTGCACCATCTGTGAAGAAGGCTAGCGGGGGTCCCATGTTAGGGAGAAGAGGTGGAATCCGAGGGAGGGGTAGGCAAGTGGCAGAGCAGGTGTGGGCGGCCGTAGGGAGAGTCGCAGGAAGCATCCTTTATCAGACAATTTCCCTTGGGCCAGGTGCTCTGTGACACACTTCACCTACAAGCTGACCTTGGGCATACCAGCGAAAGTGTTCAGCATTCTATGGGGCGCCTGGGTGGCTCAGTCGTTAGGCATCTGCCTTCGGCTCAGGTCATGATCCCGGGGTCCTGGGATCGAGCCCCACATCGGGCTCCCTGCTCCGCGGGAAACCTGCCTCTCCCTCTCCCACTCCCCCTGCTTGTGTTCCCTCTCTCGCTGTCTCTCTCTCTGTCAAATAAATACATAAAATTTTTTTTAAAAAGTGTTCAGCATTCTCATTTGTTGGAGTGGGAGCCAAGACTTATGAAGGCGTAGTGATCTGCTCTTATCTCCAGGACAGAGCTGGGATTTGGCCATGGCCCCTGGTTGGACCAGCGCATAGAACAGGAACCTGTGATCAGAAAGGAATGGCTGGAGTGGTGGGGGGTGGGAGGGATGGGGTGGCTGGGTGATAGACACTGGGGAGGGTATGTGCTATGGTGAGTTATGTGAATTGTGCAAGACTGTTGAATCACAGATCTGTACCCCTGAAACAAATAATACGTTATATGTTAAAAAAAAAAAAAAAAGAAGAAGAAGAAAAAGATAGCAGGAAGGGAAGAATGAAGGGGGGAAACTGGAGGGGGAGACGAACCATGAGAGACGATGGACTCTGAAAAACAAACAGGGTTCTAGAGGGGAGGGGGGAGGGGGGATGGGTTAGCCCGGTGGTGGGTATTCAGGAGGGCACGTTCTGCATGGAGCACTGGGTGTTATGCGCAAACAATGAATCATGGAACACTACATCAAAAACTAATGATGTCATGTATGGTGATTAACATAACAATAAAAAATTAAAAAAAAGAAAGAAAGAAAGAAAGAAAGGAATGGCCGAAACCCAACCCAGAGACCTGGGCTCACTCCGGGCTGGAGGTTCCTTGAGGTGAAACTGTTCAGTGGCGTTTGGTGCGGCAGAGAACGGGGTGCAGAGAGGGACAGCAAATGGTCAAAGGTGAAAGACTTAGGGGGCGCCAAAGAGAAAATGTCGCCTCTCTTGGGCTATCAGCCAGCTCATTTTGAGGAACAGGATCTGGGGTTCTGGTTTAAACCCTTTCATTTGCAAGCTTTAAGAAAAAAAGGCTACTCACTGACCACGGTACCTCCATGCTCCGCCTTCCCTCAACCCTCAACACCCATGCATAATCTCAGCCTTCGATTGCTTCACAAATTCTGGGAACGGTTCATACCACCTCTCCCCCGCTCAGCTCCACCCAACCCCACCCACCCCAGTCCCCTTAAGGCAGAGCTCCCCAGGGAGAAGCACAGCTGAGTGAGCAGAGAAAATCCTTCGAGCAAACCCAGCCTTGAGGAACAGCCACTGGAAGGTGTCGTGGCCACTCATGGACACCCAACTAGATACAAAACGAAGAACTTTGTCCCCTTCTTGTCATTCTGAAAGACTGTGAACCCTGGAGTCCTCAATCATCACACAGGAAGCTGAGGACTTCCTGATCTATCAGGACATTGAACCTTGAATTCATAAAGATTCTAAAAGCTCCAGAAACAAAGACTTCGTGGACAAAATCCCTAGGGACCAGAGTAAGTGGCACTTGTCTTTTCTGTCTTGTGACTGTGAGGGCAAGCTGGTTTGCAGACATACATGCAGCCAGGTGGGACTGTGGTCCTCATGTTGTAGGACATTCTTTACTTGTCTGTCTCCACAAAGGTGAGGAATTCTTCAAGGCCCAAGCAAACACCTAAGTACCCCATCGGTGCATCTATAAGGCAATTAATTGTATAGCAATACTGACAAGGGGCAAATTTATAAGACTGGGTGCTCAGATGTAAAATGGGTTTTCTTGCTAAAAAGGGGAAGCTTTCCTGAATGATTGGTTGTTGGTGACTGGTTGAGAAAATCAGCCTTTCTAAAGTCAGTTAAGAAACAAGAGGATCTCTGTGAAAAACCGTTCAAGAGGAAATCACTTACCAAACTGCCCTGTGTAAACAAAAACCAAACATGGTGTATGAAGAAATTACAGCAAAAGGGAAATATTAATTAGAAAAAACGTTGCAGATGCCAGGATGATTTGATACTGGACCAATTTCTTGAGAAGACTAGAACCAAAGAGCCTCACAATCAGGCCTGATGATTTGTCTTTGGAGGAGGCAGGATTTTACCCTCCCGAAAGCAGGGAGATGTCCTCTTGGGATGCAAACATTCTGTTCTACCAACAAAGAGGCAGGTCAGAATTTGCTCTGAAGACAGAGGGGCATGGGGGCTACTTGGAGGTATCTATTTCAACTGTTCCTCCATAAACTCTGGAGTGGCCCAGATTTTCAGAGTTAGAAACTCACAGAAATTTGCATAGCTTGTCACCAGGCTGTGTACCACTCTCTCGCCCTTAAGTCCCCACTCTGACTAGCAGGATAGCTCTAGGCTATGCAGATTGTGGGGAGTGAAGGGCCAATAAATGTTTAGCAACCGGCTCTCTTGGAAAAAAAAAAAAAAAAAAAAAGAGCCCTGATTTCTAGTGTTTGTAGATTTCTATGGTGTAAATATCCGCACTATGGTTGATTTCAAGCTACTTGCCCCCTGAATGCAGAGTTGGGGAGAGATGCATACGATTGGTCTCTATGAACCAGGATAAACCAGCCCCTGTACACCACCAGGCTTGGGTGTCTTATTACTGCAGACTGTGCTTTTTCTGCTCAAAGACTTCACCAGCTCCCAGGCTACAGGATGCTGCCACTGCAAGGTTCTGGGGGGCGCCAGGGCTCCAGCTGACCGATGCCCAGTGGCCTTGGGGCAGACTTTGCAGCAGATTTCAGCGGGGCTAGGTGGCAACAGGGTCCTTCTGTCTCCCTCCGTGGCCCCATGCCAGGCCATCTCTCTCCCAGAGTTGTTGCGTGGTGCCTGGCAAGTTGGGAAAATAGTCAATGGAGTTGGAGGTGGACAGGGGGAGGGGGCTGGTGAAGGCGAGTCTCTATTCAAATGGCACGAGCAATGCTGACTGAGTTTGCCTTCACCTTTGCCAAAATTCCCCAGAAACCGGGCTCCTGGGCTCAGTTGTGCACCAGTTGCTCTTTGTGCTTCCAAGCTGCTTGGAGCTTCTGCTATAAACCTGCCAGCCTATCCAAAAATGCTGTCTGCCAAGCCGACCCATCCACACCGGCAGCGGCAGAGGAAATCAGAAATTGTCCACACAGTTTGGTTAAGTAACTGCCAGCCTGGGTTCCTGCACAAGGAGGGCTGGGGGGCTAGAGGCAAGTCCAGAGCTGGAGGAGTCAGCCACAGGGATGGATTTGACTGGAAATGACAGTCCCCCAGCCAGGGTGTTTGACCCTGTCCCCCTCCCCCACCCCGGGTGCCTTACTTTCCAATGGTCACTGCAGAAATGTGAATTTTGTAGGAAGGAAACATTCATTAAGCAATTTAGAAGGAAGAGTGCTAGAGACTCCAGACTCAGGGTGGGAATTATGATGTAGGTACCGGCTACTTTTCTGACTGGTGGCAACCTACTGAAAATTTCAAAAGTGCAGTTCTCATGGAAGGGACTGTCCCGGTCCACCACTGGGGAGCAGAATTCATTCTCCAGATTAACTATAGAAAGAACTGGTGGGGGGACTTGAGGGAGCAGGTACATCAGCCGGAATAGGATCAGAGCCAGGGACTGGCCTCAGAGAAGGGTCAGTGCAGGGAAGGAGGAACCCCAATATTTACTGAGGGCCCAGTAGGTACTAGGGGGTGGCTTTTCTCATATATTACAGTGGCCCTGCAAGGTGTTACTTTCTCACATTACAGATGAGGAACTGAGGCTCAGAGAGGTAGGTAAACTCATCCATAGTCACACAGCTAGTAGATTGCATGAAAGCCCATGCTCCCTTTGGGGAGGTGTCTGTAGTAAGTGGAAAGGATTGAAAGGGAGTGCTGAAAATCGGGGGCTCGGGAAGTCCTATGAAGGCAAGCTCTCTAGTGGTTCTTTTTTGTTTTTCTTTGTTTCAAGGCAACCCTGGTTAAAAATATCTAAGAGCATATCTCAGCAGAACTCCAGCTGCCGCCTGGTTGCTTCACAATACCTCATGGCTCGAGGCTGTCCCAAGCTCTTCCCCTTCCCCCCATCCCTTCTTCTTCCCATCAGGTCACCCCATTCCTCCCAGACCGTACTGTCCTCTGAATCCTCCTCATGGCCCTCACAGGAGGCCTACTGAATGACCTGTGGATCCACGTGTATGGCATGAGCCAAGCTGACCCACTCTGGTGCCCTCAGGGTCCTCATCCACTAAGGGATGGGGCTAGCCTTCTAGAATTTCACTATGACAGCACTATGGGTCTTTGGGGGTAAGATAATTTTTGCATTACAGGACATCCTTGGCCCTGCTTACTGAATGACCTGAGAGTAGCATCCCCTAGTCTCTATGGCAACCAAAAAAATAAAAAAATAAAATAAAATAACCCTACACATTTACATGTGCCCCCACCATGCTACATCATCCCTGGCTAAGAACCTTTTTAGCTCCCCTAGCCCTGAAGATCCATTTGTAAGTTTTGGACTCTCAGCTTCCTTCTGGAGACGCCACAGTGCAAAATCATTGCTCCGTGATTGGAGACAGGGATGCACATGAAAAGAAACTCCAGCTCTCATTCTCAAAGATATGTGTCCTTACCATTTCAAACTCCCGCATCATCACCTCTAAACTGGGGAACAGCAGTGGCACCCCCTCTGTGGCGGGGGGGGGGGCAGGGGGAGTTGTCTAGCACTAAGTCCAATGTGAAGACCGTGGGCAGGATTGGTTTGGAGCAGTGTGGTGAGGTCTCCCTCCGTCTGTGCTCTGCAGCCAGTGGACTTTTCCTTCATGACAGTTAGTGCCAAAGTAATTGAGTTAACGATCGGTGGGCTCATGTGCTTACCGCCTATGCCCGCTGTTAAACTACAGGGTGCATGAGGGCAGAGAGGACCCCAGATCCCCCTTGCTCAAGGTTGCGTCCCAGGGCCTGGTACACAGTTGGTACTCGGTAGACAGTTGTCAGGTGGTTGAGGACCTATAATCACTGCCTCATCTTTGTTGTCTGCAGCCCACTGCCTTTCCTGGCAAAGTACACAGAAACCATCTTCCTTGACTCATGCAAGAAGCCAGGATGGAAACCTCAGCCCCCACAAAGGACTATGACATGACAACAGAATATGACTATGAGGGCATAACCCCATGCCAGAAGGGAGAGGTGAGGGCCTTTGGAGCTCAGCTGCTGCCCCCCTTGTACTCGCTGGTGTTCATCATTGGCCTGGTGGGCAACATCCTGGTGCTCCTGGTCCTCATGCAGTACAAGAGGCTCAAGAGCATGACCAGCATCTACCTCCTCAATCTGGCCATTTCAGACCTGCTCTTCCTCTTCACGCTGCCCTTCTGGATCGACTACAAGCTAAAGGATGACTGGATTTTCAGTGATGGCACCTGTAAGTTGCTCTCGGGGCTTTATTACACAGGCTTGTATAGCGAGATCTTTTTCATCATCCTGCTGACCTTCGACAGGTACCTGGCCATCGTCCACGCCGTGTTTGCCCTGAGGGCTCGGACTGTCATCTTTGGGATCATCACCAGCATTGGCGCCTGGGGCCTGGCCATCTTGGCCTCCATCCCAGGCTTCTACTATTCCAAGATCCAGCGGGAGTTCTCCCATAGCACCTGCAGCCTCCACTTCCCTCACGGAAGCCTCAAAGCCTGGAAACAGTTCCAGGCTCTGAAACTGAACATGTTGGGGCTGGTTCTGCCTCTGTTGGTCATGATCATCTGCTACACAGAGATCATACAGATTCTGCTCAAACGACCCAACGAGAAGAAAGCCAAAGCCGTCCGTCTGATCTTTGTCATCATGATCGTCTTCTTTCTCTTCTGGACCCCCTACAACCTGGCAGTGCTGGTCTCTGCTTTCCAAGACAGCCTCTTCACCGATGAGTGCAGGCAGAGCAAACAGCTGGACCTGGCCTTGCAGGTGACGGAGGTGATCGCCTACACGCACTGCTGCGCCAACCCCGTCATCTACGCCTTCGTCGGGGAGAGGTTCCGCAGGTACCTGCGCCAGCTGTTCAGCCGGCTGCTGTCCGCGCGCCTGCTTAAATGGCTCCCCTTCCTCTCCACTGATAGGCTCGAGAGGGCCAGCTCCGTGTCCCCCTCCACCGCGGAGCATGAACTCTCCGCTGGGTTCTGACTCGGGTCCCTGGAGGCCGGTCCGGGACCCAGCAAGGGCGACCTACCCGGCACGCTGACCCAAGCCGAGGCACGTTGGGACACCTGGCGCAGCACAGAATTGCAGACGCGTGGGGGTGAGGAAGTTTAATGGCGGTCTAGACTGAATAATTTCCGGGGCGACTGAGTCCTCTCCAAGAACTCCCCCGTGGTAGAAAGGAGGTGAAGGAGCGGAATGGGACATTCCAGAAGACCGGGACGGAGGGTGTCAGGGAAGAGCTTGGGCCCAAAGGGGAGTTCAGACTTGTGAGCATCACCATTTGTAAATAGAGCCACTGAGCATCCCGGGGCCCCTGCCCCTGCCCCCACCACCAGTACACTTGGAAGTAGTGATTTCCTGCTGACTGGATTCTGATCGGGGAGCCAATCAGGAGCCAGCAGCCTCCTCCCCAACCTCACCTACCCCCACCCCACGGCAGGGTTTAGGCTCTTGGAAACCCCGAGGAACCGAGAACTCTATGATGGAACGACTCGAGCCCTAGAGGGAAATGGGATTGGGGAACTGCCCTCGGCAGTGGAAGGGAGAAAGCCCTTGGGGAGAATTTTTATATTTGCAAAAATCAAAACAATTCAGGCAGTGGGCTAGACACAGATCGCCCGCATAATACGTCTGACTTCTTGAAATAGCCACAGAGGGGAGGGAGTCTTTATTTCCATCTACCAGTTTCTTCTTTCTGAGTATTTTCCAGAATCTCCCTTCCTTGTAAGTTGGATGAGGCGGGAGTACATTCTGATGGCTTTATTGCAGAAATTAATATCAGGCAAAAGGAGACAGGGTCAGTTTCCCTGCTCTGCTTCCCCACTGAAGCCTTCTGGTTTTACGGATCAGAGTTCTGGCTGTTACGTTGGACCCATCCGCAGGAAAAATGACCTGGTGTGCAAGCTGACAGTGTCTGAGGCTGAGAGGGAGGGGGGCGGTGAGGTGGGAACTCACCCACCTTGATGTGGAAGGTTGAGAGGACCCTTAAGTAAAAGAAACATATTTCCCCTAAATGTCCTTAACACTTAATCTCTCACCAGGGACCTCCTGGTCATCACGTCTTTCTTCCCTTTTCCCTAGGATGTGTATTTCTTTAAAATCATTTTCCCAGTAACAAAAACACAGCTTAAAAACTCAAAGGGAAAAAGAGAACACCCAAAGCACCCAATTCTCACTACCCAAAGACAACGACTGTGCGCTCTTCTATGTATTCTCTTTTAGTTTCGTGTCTGTTTTCTCCTGTGGGTATTTACAACGATGACAAAGACGGACTTCGACTGTACTCTTGTAGTTTTTGTTTTTGAGTAGAAGTATGTTGGGGGTCTCTTTCCCAGGTGAATAAATCATATTAAAGCACTGTTTCTGAAGGCTGCGCTGAATTACACCCTCATTTATTCTACCCATTTCCCCATTATTGCTTGCACAATTCAAGCAATTCAATTCAATTGATTGATTCACAAATCAATTCAATCTAGCAGTGACCAGTGTCGACTTCTCTGAGTTCTCTGAGCCCTGGGAGGCACACAAGCATAGGGACGCACGGAGACCCCAGGCGGGATGGATGGAACTGCAGTGGAGCCTGTGGCCCTGGGCAGCAAAGGGGAGGAAGGACCCCATCAGTCAGAAAGCACCCTTAGTGAGTGGGTGTCCCATCTTACAACACAGGGACATCATTGGGCTGGCTGTTCTCTTTTTGGACCCTAGAATTGTGCTTTTATCCAGCCACCCTCCCCTTCAGTCAGGGACCTCCTATGTGTGCATGCTTTCTTTGTGTAAAGAGGCTGGTATCATGAAGGTTTAGACAGTTTTTGTCTGGGGAAGGAGGCGGTCACACTGCCCTGGGCTTACATTTCCACACAGAACATGGGGACAAATCCAGACTTTGGGAGTCAAGGGGGAAGTCAGCTTTCCATTCAAAAACCTGCCAGTTCATCTCTGCAGTGTGGCGAAAAGGCATAATGGAATTAAGAAATATTTGTCTACCACTTTGGTCAAATAAGACTGCATCAAGAAACACTGTTTGATCCCCCAAAATATCCTAATGAGAAAGATTGTCATTATAATATCCTCCGGGTCCATTTTTGAAATAATGATTATGTTTTAACTTGTCACAAAGGCAATAATGTTCACCGTAAAAAAAAAACAAAAAACAAAAAACTGAAAACAGATAAAAAAGCCAAAGAAGAAACTGGAAGCATTTGTAGTCACTAGCCACTACCCTCATGCAGCCTCTCTTAGCACACTAATGTCGCCATGCATCTCCTTCCCGTGTGCATTACACACACACATCTGCAATCACACTTAACATTTTTTGTGTAGCCGTGGTAAAACTGGACTGCAGTAAGCACTTAGTAAATGCTGGTTGAATGGATGAAACTCTGAGCCCCCAATTTCTTTATAAAGTGAGGATAAGAAAAGTATCTACCCCTGTGGGGCAGATTTAACCTGAGGATTAAATGAAGCAAAGCAAGGAAAGTGGGTTATTACATTTTTATTTTAATTCCAGTCAGTTAACAGACAGTGTAATATTAGTTTCAGGTGTACGACAGAGGGATCCCACACCTTCATACAGCACCCGGTGCTCGTCCCAACGAGTGCCCTCCTTCATCCCCCATCACCTATTTCATCCATCCCCCACCCACCCTCCCCAGCAGTGTGTTCTCTGTAGTTAAGTCTGTTTCTTGGGTGATCTTCCTCCAAGTCTATCAGATAAGAGATCTGACGCCCCCTGACAATGCCTCTCCTCAGTTACTCCAGCCCTCCCTCAGTTACACCTCTGGCCCTTCCGGAGCTGCCTTCCTGCCTCCAGCTCCGCTCCTTGCTCCTGTGTATGCGAGTCACGCCACGCCTCCTTGTTATTGCTGGTTCTAGCATTTCATCCTTCAGAAAGGTTGCCAGAAGAGCCCAAAGAACTTCCATATCTCATCCAGACTCCCCAGCTGTCAGCATCTTACCACATTTGCTCTAATTCATCATTCTCTCTCTCCCTCCCTTTCTGTCCCAAAAGATAGACGGGCAGACAGATGGTTATAAATCTACTATTTTTCTCCAGGACCACTTGAGAGCAGGGTGCAAATACGATGTCTCATCAGCCTTTTGTAGTTCAGAATGACTTTCCTAGCAACAAGGATGCTCTCCCACCTAATCAAAGCAGAAACTGACACAATATCACCAGGTTATCTGTAGCCTTCTTTCCAACTTTGCCCACTTTGCAAATAATGTCCTTCATAGTCCCAAGACCTAGAATCGTTTACTTAGTTGTGATGCCTTCCTTTCAATCAGGAACACTTCTTCAGACTTTTCTTGTGCTTCCTGACCTCAACATCTTGAATGCCACAGTTACCTGGCGGATGGTTCCCTGTTGTGGGCTTCCTGATGTTTCCTGATGATTAGGGTCAGGTTATGCAACTAGAGCAGGAATCTCACAGAAGTGATGCTGTGTTGTTCTCAGTGCATCATGTGGGGAGGCATTTGGTGCCAACCCGTCCCATCATGAATGATGTTAAACTTTATTGCTTGCTTTAGAAAGTCTCCACCAGGTTTCTCCACTGTAAAGCATATTGTACTTATAAATTTATAAGTGCCCACTATTAGTGGGCATTTCACTGTATGATAAAAGCGTCTTTTCTCCTTCACTTATGTATTTATTCATTTATTTATTTATATCATCATGACCTCATAGATTCCCTTTTTACTTAATGGGATAGAATCTAATACTGTTTTTACTGCTTTGATGCACAAATTGTCCCAGATTTATCTAGTGGGAGCCCTTCAAGCTGGATCCTATGTCCTTTTGCTGTTCTTTCTACCAGTTTTTGAGTCCTTTCTTACTTTTCGGCACATAAGGTACTAGGTTCTGCATAGCGCAAGGAAACATCAACAAAATGAAAAGGCCACCTATAGAGTGGGAGAAAATATTTGTAAACCACATATCCGTAAGGGGTTAATATCCAACATATACAAGGAACGCATACAACTCAAAAGTAAAAAACCAAATAACCCAATTTAAAAATAAGCAAAGAACCTGAATAGACATTTTTCCAAAGAAGACATACAAATAGCCAACAGATACATGAAAAGGTGCTCAACATCACTCAGGGAACATCATCATCAGGGAAATGCAAGTCAAAACCACAGTAAAATATCACCTCACACCCATTAGAATGTCTATTATCAAAAAGACAAGAGATAACAAGTGTTGGTGAGGATGTGGAAAAAAGGGAACCCTGTGTACTGTTGGTGGGAATGTCAGTTGGTACAGCCACTATAAAAAACAGAATGAAGGTTCCTCGAGAAATTAAAAATAGAGCTACCATACGATCCAGCAATTCCACTTCTGGATATATATCCAAAGGAAACAAAATCCTTATCTCAAAGAGACATCTGTATTCCCCTGTTCCCTGCAGCATTATTCACAATAGCCAAGGCATGGAAACAGCAGAAGTCTCCATCAACAGATGAGTGAAGAAAAGGGAACGACCCAAAGCAGAAGTCCCATTCTAATGTTTTTTCCCCCCAGTTTTATTGAGAAATAATTGATATATAATCACTGTATATGTTTAAGGCACACAGCATGATGGTTTGATTTATGTATATTGTGAGATGATGACCACAGTAGGTTTGGCCAACATCTACCTTCTCATACAGATACAGTTTTAAAAAAAGAAGAAGAAAAGAGGGAAAAATTTTCTCCTTGTGATGAGAACTCTCAGGATCTACTCTCTTAACACCTTTCCTATATATCCTACAGTAGTGTTATCTATGGTCATTATGTCATACATCACATCCCTAGGACTCATTAATCCTTTAACTGCAAGTTTGTACTTTTTGACCCCCTTCCTCCGATTCCCTCTTCTCCACCCTCTGCCTCTGGTGACCACAAGTCTCATCTCTTTTTCCATGAATTTGTTGTTGCTGTTGTTTTTAGATACCACATATAGGTGAGATCATGCAGTATCTGTCTTTCCCTGTCTGACTTATTTCACTTATTGTGATGCCTTCAAGGTCTATCTTTGTTGTCACACATGGTAGGATTTCCTTGTTTTTAATGGCTGAAATATATATATATATATATATATATATATATATATATCACAATTCTTGATCCATTCATCCACTGATGGACACTTAGGTTGTCTCCATGCCTTGGCCATTATAAATAATGCTGCTACGACCATGGGGGTCACATATCTTTTTGAGCTAGTGTTTTCATTTCCTTTAGATATATTCCGAGAAGTGGAATTGCTGGATCATATGACAGTTCTATTTTAATTTTTTGAGGAAATTCCATGCTGTTTTCCATAGTGGCTGTTTCCATTTACAATCCCAACAGTGCACAAATGTCTTTCCTCCACATCCACACTAGCATTTGTTAACTCTTGTCGTTTTGATGATGGTTTTTAAAACAGGTGTGAGGTGATATCTCATTGTTATTTTAATTTGCATCTCCCTGATGACTAGTGATGTTGAACATCTTTTCATACACCTGTTGGCCTCGCATACATCTGTTTTGGAGAAATATCTATTCAAGTACTTTGCCCATTTTTTAATTGGGTTGTTTTTGGTTTTTTTCTTGTTTTGTTTTGTTTGTGATTGAGTTCCATGAGTTCTCTATAGATTTTGGATATTAACCCCTAATCAGACATATGGTTTGCAAATATTTTTTTCCATTCTGTAGCTTGTCTTTTCACTTTGTCGATGGTTTCTTTTGCTGTGCAGAATCTTTTTAGTTTGATGTGGACCCACTTGTTTATTTTTTATTTTGTTGCTTATGCTTAGGTATCATATTAAAAAAAAATCACTACCAAGACCCATGTCAAGAAGCTTTATTCCAGTGTTTTCTGTTCCATGGTTCAGGTCTTATGTTTAAGTCTTTAATCCATTTTGAGTAAATTTTTGTGAGTGGTGTAAGATAGAAATTCTGTTTCATCCTTTTAGGTGTAATATCCAATAAGTTCTGGTATGTTGTTTTCATTTTTGTCTCAGGAAACTTTTGTATCTCTCCCTTTAATTTCTTCCTTGATCCAAGAGATGTTCAGGACAGTGCTGTTTAATTTCCATATGTTTGTGAATTTTGCAGTTTTCCTCTTGTTGCTGATTTCTAGTTCCATGCCATTGTGGTCAGAGAAAATATTTGGTATGATTTCAATCTTCTCTCATTTGCTAAGACTTGTTTGTGTCCTAACATATGGTCTGTCCTGGAAAATGTTTCATGTACACCTGTATTCTGTTGTTGCTGGATGGAATGTCCTGTATATGTCTGTTAGGTCCATTTGGTCTACAGTGTCGTTCAAGTCGGCTGTTCCCTTATTGATTCTGTCTGGATGATCTATCCATTTTTCAGAGTAGGGCAACAAAATCCCCAACTATTACTGTATTCCTGTTTATTTCTCCTTTTAGCTCTGTTAATGTTTGCTTTACATAATTAGGTGTTCTGATGTTGGGCACAAAAATATGTACAATTGTTTTACCTTACTGATGTATTGACCGCTTTGTAATTATATAATGACCTTCTTGTCTCTTTTTGACATTTTTAGTTTAAGATCTATTTTGTGTGATAGAAGGATAGCTACTCCTGCTTTTTTTTTTTTTTTTTTTTTTGTTACCATTTGTTTGAATGTCTTTTTCTGTGCCTTTACTCTCAGTCTGTGAATGTCTTTAAGGCTAAAGTGAGTTTCTTGTAGGCTGTATATTGTTCAATCTTGTTTTTTTATACATTCAGCCATTCTATGTCTCTTAATTGGAGAATTTAATCCATTTAAATTTAAAGTAATTATTGATAGGTACGGACTTGCTATTGCCACTTTGTTTTCTGGGTTTTTTTTATAGATCCATTGTTCCTTGTTTCTTATACTGCTGTCTTTTTTTGTGGTTTAATGTCCTTGAGTATCAGTATCTTTGATTTCTTTATCGTGTTCTTTTGTGTAATTACTTTAGGATTTTCCCTAGTGATTACCATAAGGCTTACATAAAACCTCTTAACCTAACAACACCCCATTTTAAACTGATGACAACTTAACTTCAATAGAATTCATAAACATTGCACTTTTACTTCTTCTCCCCCTCACATTATAGGTTATTGCTGTTACAATTTACATGAATTTACATGCTTTTTATATTGTATAACTAATAACAAATTATTGTAGTTATAGTTTTTTCCCTACACTTTTTTTAACTTTTGTAGGTGAGTTATGCACCACTATTACCATATTGCAGAATCTAATTATATCTTTACCATTACCATGAAATTTATGTTACCTTTTTATGTTTTTATGATGTCAGTTAGCGTTCTTTTACTTCACCAAAATAACTTCTTTTAGTATTTCTTATAAGGTAGGTCTGGTGGTAAAGTTTTTAGTATGTATCATTTTCTTTTCTTCCGCATTTAAAAAATTGTGGTAAAATACACATAAAACTTACCATCTTAACCATTTTTAAGTGTACAGTTCACTGGTATTAAATACATTCATAATGTTGTGTTAGCAATCACTACCATCCATCCCCAGAACTCTTTTCATTTTGTAAAAATGAAACTCCAAACCCATTAAACAACAACATCCTATTCTTCCCTACCCCCAAACCCTCATATACCTGGAATCATGCTGTATTTTGTGTTTTTTGTGATTGGCTACTTCACTCAGCATGATGTCCTCAAGATTCATCCATGTTGTAGCCTGGGTCAGAATTTCCTTCCTTTTTAAGGCTGAATAATATTCCCCTGTATGGATGGACTTCTTTTGCTTATCCATTCTTTTTTTTTTTTTTTAAGATTTTATTTATTTATTTGACAGAGAGAGACACAGCGAGAGAGGGAACACAAGCAGGGGGAGCGGGAGAGGGAGAAGCAGGCTTCCCGTTGAGCAGGGAGCCCAATGTGGGGCTCGATCCCAGGACCCGGGGATCATGACCTGAGCCAAAGGCAGAGACTTAATGACTGAGCCGCCCAGGCGCCCCTCCATTCATTTGTTGACAGACACTTGAGTTGCCGCCACACTTTGTTGTGAATAATGCTGCTATGAACACAAATGCACAAATATCACTTCGAGACCCTGCTTTCAATTCTTTCAGCTATATACTCTGAAGCTGAAATGTTGGTAATTCTATGTCATTTTTTTTCTTTTTATGTATTAAGAATAGGTATTTTTGGTTTTTATGTACAATTTTTAACTTAGGCAAATGATATGTTTATCGTTTTTCAACATAGTATGTGGTTTGCAAGTTCATCTATGTTGCTATGTAGAATATCCAGTCCATTTCTTTCACCTGCTGCACAGTTCTCCACAGAGTGTAACTTGCATGTTTTACTGATCTACCCTCCTAGAGATGGGTGCCAAGATTGCCTCCAACTCAGTGCTCTCACAAATAAAGCTGCAGTATCCTCATACAGACTTGGACTTGAAATGCTGGATCATAAGGAGACATAAAAGAGTTTGGTCTACATTGCTACTCCCTGTGCCTGAAAGTTCCTCTCCCCACATCCTTACCAACACTGTGTTATACTGCTTTTTAATCTTTCCTAGTCTGAGTAATGGGACACTCACAGTTGTTTCATTTTACATTTCTCCAGTCATTGATGAATTAGAATATCTCTTTATATGTTTGCTAAGCTTTTGAGTTTCTTCTGTAAATTCCTTGTTTTTATCATTTTTTCAATTGGGTTTGCTGTCATTTCTTGTTGATTGGCCAAAGTTCTTCGTATATTCTGGATTTTAATTTCTTATGCTTTAGACTTTGCAAATGACTCCTATCATTGTCTCAGCTGTATTACTTTATGTACGGCATCCTCCATTGAATAGAAATTCTTAATCTTGATGTAATAAAAATCCATGAAATTTTGTCTTCTGGTTTATGCCATTTACATGTAGTTTAAGAACTCCTTCTTTCCCCTTAAGTACCAATGTTTTTCTGTTTTGTCCTATATATTTTTTCCTTCTAGCATAATAGCATAATATATTCCTTTAGCATAACATATCTTTTCCTTTTAGCATGATAGCTAAAATCCTTTTAGCATAAAGACCTTATTTAGGTCTTTAATCAGATGTGTGACTATGGCAAGTTGCTTAATGTCTCAGAGACTCCACCTTTGAAATGGAGATAATAGTAGTATCTAGCTAATAGGGTAGTAATGAGGATTAAATGGGTCAATGCATTTGAAGTGCTTAGAAGAGTACCTGTCACATAGTACCATAGAAGGGATGGCTATTATAATGAAAATACATTTATTTATTTATTTATTTATTTATTATTTATTTGCCACATTTAGTAAGTTATTCAACATGTGAAAATGTAGTAAAAATTTAAAAGGTGATTCTAATAACTAAGTGTTGGTGAGAAACACCAACAAGATGGAATACATTTTGATTTTTTCCATATGTAGAGGACAAAGTATTGGCAGGGGCAAATAGAAACCCTGATATTGGCTGATTTTACATTTCTCTCCCTGTCACGCTCACTCCTCCTCTTAATGAGGCACCCCAAACTTAGTGCAATAACTAACACCTTCCACCATGAAATTCTCTGGATAAGATTTTGAAAAAAGAAAACGGATTTTTAAGTCCATAGCTGTCACTCTGTTCAGACATAGTTCAGTGCAATCAGATTTCTGTCATGCAAGAATATGGACAGAGCAGGGTTTTCCTGCTCTGAAGTTGTCTGATCTTTATTTGTCCTTCATTTCGCAACCCCCCTTTCTGTGGTAGGAGCTGAGAAATGGTGTAAAGACTGATACCTGGATGGCAGTAAAGGAACAAGGGTCATGACTGTCTAAGGAGATCCAGTAGAGCTTCCATTCTGTCCCCACTCCTGGGCACTGTGCTTCTTGGAAGAAGGAAGGGGTTATTCAGGTTCAATCCCTGGAATAGGGCATTGAACGGGGAAAAGAAGGTCTACCAGTAAATCTCATTTATCCATTTATGTGTTTATTCATTCATCCAAATGCCGCTGCTCATACATGCATTCATTCATCCCTTTGCTCAGTACAAGCTCCTTGAGCCAGACCCCTAGGGTACACAGACCACTGGAAGAAGCACCTGCCACCCCCACAGGCACTGGAGCCTTCTGTGTACCAGGATGGGACAGGAGCTGCATGATGTGGTCAGTTCAACAGGGGGAAAACAGGCCCCAGTGAAATGATTTTGACTAGAGACTTGGAAAGCCAGCACCAAATTACTTTGTAGCTTTTGTTCAACCTCCAGAGCATTTTGTCTTGGTTCTTGATTTAACTAATCTAAAATTCACTTGGAGATACAAGGTGTGAGACAGTCTAAGTAAATCTCAAAAAAGAGAAGTATTTTACTGAGGGAGAAATGTGCCTGCTTGTAGAATGACACACAATGCAAAGCATGTGATACAAAGATGTTATGCAAAAATCAAAAACAAAAACAAACCCACCAAAACTAAAAATTAAGACAAAGATGCCAAAGGTCAAAACCCCTAACACATAAGGCAATCTTACAAAATCAATAAGAAAACCACTGAGATTTTCCTATCACATAATTACTCCATATACCCAACTGTTTTTGAAATGAACAGAGATATAAATAGAAAGGTCATAGAGGAAATTCAATAGCCATTAATATAAAAATACTAATCACAATAGTAACAAGCGAAATGTTAATGAAAATGAGATATTTCTTTTGCCTGATAAAGCAGTGGAGAGAATTTATTTCATTCCGTTAAGTGAAAATACCCAGTGCAGGTAAGGATGTGGCAAACGATGTTTAACAATCATCTATGAAAGACACCTGCCCCAGAGCATCCCCTTCTTTTCTTTGCACTTCTTACAAGTTTTCCTCAGAAGGAAGTCTTGGTGCATTTTCTCTGAAACGATGTCACACTCCAGTGATTTCCTCCTGTCACTTTGATGCCTGAGACACCTTCAGGAAGCTGCCTGAGCACTGTGGCGTTCACACTTGACCTCACCCTGGTACCTTGTCAAGACAACTCTTTCACCCTGCAGCAAATAAAGCAAATGCTTTATTTGGTTCCCAAAAGGGAGAAAAAAAAGGAGAAGTCACTCCCATAATTTAAATTTTGAACATGTGTCTTTATAAAATTGCAGAAGTTCAAGCAGCTTCGTACTTCTTCTGTTTTGTCAAAATTCAGTTTTCTTTATCTTCACCAGGAAGCAAGGCTCAGAGTTGTCCTGAACGTAAATATAATGGGCATCACTAAATGTGACCACAGAAAAACTGCAAGGATGTTGTCCACAGCTGTGCTCATCATGAGGGAGAACTAGAAACTCCCTGGAGGGCCAGCATTCATTTATAGCAGTGAATAAAATAGACTGCTTCTACCTGCTTTTGGGGGGCACCTTTTGTATATTGATGGTAAACAAGGGGACAAACAAGAAGCAAACAAAAATGGAAACCAAAAAACCCACCCCATAATGTGCTGTAAGTCAGCTTGTAACCGTTCACAAGAACCAACTGCGCGATCTCTTCCCAATTCCATGATGAGTTATGTAACATCAGTACCTTGAAATCAGACACGGTTGGAGCACTTACACCAGGGAAATTGGCAAATGCTACAAATCAGGACTTACTTTGAAAGCCAGTTGTTAAACACTTCCTAGGCCCCCAGTGTTTGTAGTATGTTTGTGAAATGGAATATTAAGCTGATACCGATATTCACATTATGAGAAAAAAAAGTCTCATCATAAAACAGTATGTGCATGCAAAAAAAAAAATGAACTTAGACCCTCACCTCACACCATACACAAAGATTAATTCAAAATGAATCATAGACTTAGATGCAAGAGCTAAAATAATAAACTTGTAGAAGAAAACACAGAAGGAAATCTTCAGACTTTGGCCTAGGCCAAGGAAATAATCCCATTTACAATAGCATCAAAAAAGAATGAAACACTTAGGAATAAATTTAACCAAGGAGGTAAAAGATCTGTACATTGAAAAGCACAAGAAACTAAAGACACAAATAAATGGAAAGATATCCTGTGTTCATGGATCAGAAGAATTACTAATATTAAAATATTCATTCTGCCCAAAGTCATCTACAGATTGATCAAATCAAGCCCTATCAAAATCCCAATGGCACTGCTTACTGAAATAGAAAAAAATTTTTTTAAATTTGTACAGAACCGTAAAAAACCTTGAATAGCCAAAGCAATCCTGAGAAAGCAGAATAAAGCTGGAGGCTTCACAATTACTGATTTCAAACTTTATTACAGAGCGATAGTAACCAAAACAGTATGGTATTGGCAAAAAAACAGATACACAGACCAACAGAACAGAATAGAGAGCTCAGAAATGAACCCACATATATGATCAACTAATATTTGACAAGGGAGTTAAGAATAGTCAATACTTTAATAAGTAGTGCTGGGAAAACTGGATATTCACGTGCAAAAGAATGAAACTGGATCCCTACCTTACACCACTCACAAAAATCAACTTGAAATGGATTAAAGACTTAAACGTCAGACCTGACACTGTAAAACCACTAGAAGAAAACATAGGGAAAAATTTCCTTGACGTTGACCTTGGAAAAATGTTTTGGATGACGTGAAAAGCACAAGCAGCAAAGCAAAATCAACAAGTGGAACTACATCAAACTAAACAGCTTCTGCACAGCAAAAGAAGTAGTCAGCAAAATGAAAAGGCAACCTACTGAATGGGAGAAAATATTTGCAAATCATCTAACTGACAAGAGGTTAGTATCTGAAATATACAAGGAACTCATATAAGTCAATAGCACATGAATATTCATATGTAAGCGGTATCTGCTCAGGTTATTGACAGGAGCCTTTAGTTAAAAGTGTGGAGCCCTTTGCTTCTCATTCTATCCTGCTGCCTCCCTTTCTGAGAAGGATGCATCTCACCTGCGCGGTACAGGGTCTGAGCTGGGGGTCCACGTGTCCCCTTCCTCCCTTGACTGATTTGGATTTACCCACATCAATTTTCATGCCTCTACTTCCCCTTCCCCTTGAGTTGATCTCTCTGCAGAGGATCTCAGAGTTGCAGAGGCTCCTCCTCTCCTTCATTCTACAGGACCTGAAAAAAACCAGACTCCTTTCCAAAGACTATTACATACCAGAACACAAGGAAACAGCAGATAAAATTAACATTGTGGATGACGAGCTGATAAATAAAACGTGGTATGTCTATACAAAGCTATATTATTCAGCAATCGAAAATGAAGTTCTGATACATGAAACCTTGAAATATGCTAGGTGAAAGAAGCCAGTCAGAAAAGACTACTTATCGTATGATTCCATTCATGCTAAATGTCCAGAATAATTGGCCAATCTATAGGGACAGCAAGTAGACAAGTGATTGCCTAAGGCTTGGGCAGGGGTGGAAGGTTGTTGGTGAGAGAGGAGGTGCTAATAGGTACAAGGCTTCTCTTTGGGATGATGAGCATGTTCTAAAATTGTGGAAATGGTGGCACAACACTGAATATACTAAAAGCCACTGAGCTTTATACTTTATATGGATGAATTATATCGCTGTGAGTCATATATCAATAAAGCTGTTATATGGAAGGAAGAGAGGGAGGGAGGAAGAAAGGAAGGAAGGAAGGAGGGAAGGAAGGGAGGGAGGAAGGAGGGAAGGGAGGAAGGGAGGAAGGAAGGAAGGGAGGAAGGAAGGGAGGGAGGGAGGAAGGGAGGGAGGGAGGAAGGGAGGGAGGGAGGAAGGAAGGAAGAGAGGAAGCGAGGGAGGGAGGGAGGAAGGGAGGAAGGAAGGGAGGAAGGAAGGAAGGGAGGAAGGAAGGAAGGAAGGAAGGGAGGAAGGAAGGGAGGGAGGGAGGGAGGAAGGGAGGGAGGGAGGGAGGAAAGGGCACCACCTGGCAGGAGCTGAGATTAAAGAAGAACATGGCAGTAAGTGGGGTGGAGTGAAGGATGTGTCAGTCACATCAGCAGATGCAAAGACGTGGAAGTGAGAGGGAGCTTGGCTCATTTCAGGAACTAGAAGTAGCAAAGACAGAAGCACACAGTGGAATGGGATGAGCCAGGAGAGAGAGGGGACCAGGGGTCCAGCAGGAGCGTGACCACCAAAGCCTTGTAGACCAACTGAAGGTTAGGACCTTACCCAGTCAGCAAGTGAGTCTTAAGCTTGGGAGTGCCTTGAGCAGATTTGCATTTTAGAAAGACATTTTGGTTATAAAAGGATTAAGAGAGGGTAAGACAGGAGATGGGAACTCTTTATCAAGAGGAGGTTGTGGTTCCCAAGGGATGAAATGATGGTGGTCTGACACAGGGAAGTGGCACTGAGGACAGAGCCAGATAGATAGGAATTTAGGAGGAAGGATCAGCAACAGAGTGCTGATGAGGCAGGTGTGAAGGGCAGGGAACCCCAGGTGTCTGTTTCTAGTGGAGGGTGTCGCCATTTGCTGAGACTGTGAACCCAGCTGGCGGGGGGGGGGGGGGGGTTGTACTGATGAATTGAGTTCTGGGTGGACACGTTTCCAGTGGCTGCAAGATGCTCTAGGGGATACCTGGAGACGGACGCTCCCAGATCTTCTAAATGTCAGCATTTGGTAACCAAAAGATTTCAAACAAAAACTGGATTTCTGGCTTCTCTGGAAAATCAGAAGGTCTAGCCACCATGGGCTTGCATTCACTCTTTACCAGGGCTCAGCAAACTACAATCTGCACACCAAATCCGACCTTGGCTTGTGTTTGTATGACTTGTAGAGCTAAGTTTTTTTTATATATATAGGGTTGTTAAAACAAAGAACAGTGACAGAGGTGACACGTGGCCCATACAGCCTACAGTACTTGCTCTCTGGCCCTTTAGAAACATGTTTGCCTACCCTGCTCTTGACAGTCATCTGCTCATGCTGAGTTGCTGACACCACCTTCCCAAGGCTCTCGGGCTCCCCGATTGCCCCGGTCCCCACTGCTCCCTATCACTCCCATCCAGCCTGACTCACTCGTGTACGGTTTCTTCCTGGCCCCTGGCTGGACCCTGACTAAGGTATTGTGACAAGTGAGAATAGGGCCAGAGGCCAAGGCAAACAACTTTCCAGAAGTAGGCAGGGAGAAGGCTGAAGAACAGTCAGAGAGGTCAGAGGAACACGAGGAGGGTTTCCTAGGTAAGAAGTTAGAGCATTTCAGGACACGAGTGGCACACAGGGTGTCGGGTCAGCGGAGAAGCTGGGCTGGGGGAGGCTTGTGGAGGGAGTGTGGGGCCATGAGCTTCTCTGGGATGGGGAAAACTGGGAATGCAGACGTCAGATTGGACTGGGCTGGGGAACAGGTGGCTTGAAGTGTAGCTGTGAAGAAGAGGGCAGGAGATGGGGCAGCACCTGGAGGGATCGAGGGAAAGACTTCATCAAATGGGACAGGCTTGAGCCCAGAGAGGGAGAGGCGGAAGGTGGGGGGCAAAGCTGATGGGGCGGAGTCTGGAGAGGGGACAGGGACAGGGACAGGCAGGACTCGCCCTCACCACGAGCCTGGTGAGAACAAAGCTGGGCGGGGTAAAGGTGCAGGTGAAGTGGGCGAATTTCTAGCAAAAGTTAAAAGAGTGTTTTATCCTGATGGCTTCTAATTTCTTGGTGAAATAAATGATGGGGCCACCTGCTGATGAGGGCAGGGGGACAGCTGGAGAATTCTAGACTGAGAAGGTTTGAGACACACGTGCCCCAGAATGGGGAAACTGAGAAGCGTTGCTGGATGGCTCTGAGAAATCCACCAAGCCTGGAGGCTGTGGCTCATGGGGACTCCAACTCTTCTGGCCTTCTCTATGTTCCCCTGTGCCCAGGGAGCAGCCTGGGCATGGTGGACAGGAACCTGAGAGTCACCGAGGCATGACCGTCTTCCCCTCCAGGGACAGACACTGTATGCGTGAACCGACAGGAAGTCAGAATTCTTGGCCAACACAAACATTTGAATCACGTACTCCAACCAGAATTTTCAGCAGAACAGGAGATAGAAGTTCTTTCTTTGAAATGTGCTATGTTTAACACTTAAAAAGCAGAAGAAAAGAAAAGCAGGAGCCCTTTCTTAAAATCTTGCCTTAAAACCAATGCAATTAAACATGAGTTCCAATTTATCATTTGCCAAGTAGCTCATCATTTTTCTTCAGTTTGCTGTATATCTTTTAAATTGGTCTTCCTATGTACAAATGGTTGCTTGTATTTATTTATCTGTAATTCAAGTATAATTGATATACAGTATTATATCGGTTTCCAATGCACAGATAGTGATTCAACATTACATACATTAGGAAATGCTCATCACGGTAAGTGTACCTACCATTTGTCACCATGCAAAGTTATTACAGTAGTATTCATTATATTCCCTACTCTGTACTTTACACCCCTGGGACTTAATTTATTTTATAACTGGAAGATTACAGCTCTTAATTCCCTTCCCCTATTTTGCCCATTCCCCCCAAAACCCTCCCCTCTGGCAACCACCAGATTGTTCTATCTGTGAGTCTGTTTCTGTTTTGTTTTGCTTATTCATTTATTTTTAGATTCCACGCATAAGTGAAATCGTACAGTATTTGTTTTTGTCTGACTTATTTCACTGAGCATAACGCCCTCTAGGTCCACGCAGATTGTCACAAAGGGCAAGATTTCATTCTTGTTTATGGTTGAGTAATATTCTATGGTGTATATAGCACATCTCCCTCACCCACTCATCCATCGATGGACACTCAGGCTGCTTCCATAATTTGGCTACTGCAGATAATGCTGCAATGAACATGGGGTGCAGATAGCTCTTCGGGTTAGTGTTTTCATTTTCTTGGCATAGATGCCCAGAAGTGAAACTGATGGTATTTCTCTCTTTTTCAAGGAGCCTCCATGATCTCTTTGCTTTAATGACAGTGGTCACACTTACTGACAATCACACAGATCTTGTAGCAACGACTTTCCCATTTCACCTCACAATGGCATTGTAAGGCAGAGAAGGTGGGGGCGGGGGGCACAGGTGGAAGGGGTGTGTAAATGCCACAAGTGATATGCCGCAGCCAGCTATGTTACGCTTCAGATAAACCCAAGTTATCCCAAGCTACCCTGTGAAATCAGAATTCTGAACCCCTCCGCCTTCTTGTGACATAGGAAAAGACGGGCGGGTGCCGTCGGCACTGGGAATCCCAAGGTCAAATTCCAGCTCCACTTTCTTAACTGTGTGACCTTGGTCTGAGCCTGGGTTTCCTCATCTGGGAGGTGGGTATTGACCGCGGGGTATTGACTACAGAGCGTACAGGGAGGTTCAAAGATCCTGGAGTGCACGACGTGTGGCAGTCAATAATAGGACTGATGTTTCGGATTATGATATGGAGACAGGAAAGGGGGACTTCAGAAGGCCTGGCCCTCATGTAGCTTTAACACCAGCTTTGTGACCTGAGGGGGTCCTTTTCCTGCCCTGGGCCCCCGTTTCTTCATTTACAAGAGGAAGCCGCTGGACCCAGCACTGACACCTGTGGGTCTCTGAGCCCCAGGTTCGGGAAGCTGCAGATGAGGGAACAGAGATCAGGGGTGTCCTGAGCCCTTGCAGGTAAGTAAACTGGTGCAATCTGTCACCGAGCCTTAAGTGGCTCTTGCTGACCTCTTCAGTTATGCTTCTTTACGTTCTCTGTCTCATTCACCTGACCCACTTACAGTATGTGTTGTCAGTCGCTGTGCTAAAACAACAACAACAACAAAAAACCCCTAAAACTTCATGGCTTAAAATAACCAAACTATCATCTGTCCGGATCCTGCAGGTGGCCGAGGGTTTCTTCTGCTTCGTGAGGTACCAGCCAGGGTATGCGGGTGGCTGGAAGGTCCAAACTGGCCTCCCTCACATAGCTGGCAAGTTGGTGCTGGCTGTCCACCAGGAGGTCGGTCCCCCGCGTGGCCTCCCTGTGCGGCTAGCTTGGGCTTCTCACAGCAGGGCACTGGCTTCCAGAGGTAGCAACTAAGAGCAAATGTTCTAGGAAGACGAAAGCAGAAGTTGCCAGACCTGCAACCCAGGGCCCAGAAGTCCCACCACATTTGACCAAAGCGGTCACAGGGCCAGCCTGTGTGTGAGGCCGGGGAAATACGCTCCATGCCCTTGATGCGTGCAGGGAAGGACAGAACTGATACTGACCTCCTTTGAGGATGAACCACCACCTGGGACATATGCATTTCCCCCATTAATAGTCAAGAAGACTCAGACACAGCGTCTCCTGTCTGAGGCTCCCCCTCGAATCAGGCACAAACTCTGAGGACTTGAAAGGCTTTCGTCCTTCTTCCGAACCCAGGCTGGGAGAGAGCTGAAAGGGTCGCACTGGCCACACCGCATCTTTGTTCTAGAGATACCCCACAGGTCACTGTGGGAGCCCGATGGGCTCAGCCCCGGGAGAGCTGCCTGTCCATGAAGGGATGTCCCGACTGCCCTGGGTCCATCTAGACCACTGTACAGGGGCCACACACTGGCCTCCAAGACTGTGGCTCCTTCCACTCACATGTGCTCAGCCATCATTCCCAACACATGACACTGTCACCATGCCACAGTCACCGGTCCCCAGGGCCGCTA